GGTGGCCATGAGGACCCCCAGAATGAAGAGGAAGTACCAATCCTCCCCCACGCGGAACAGCTGCCGCTTCACCCACTCCAAGCACCCTGCGGGGGGGGAAAACAGGGCGCTGACCCCCCCCCCCAAAAAAAACCCCCACCCCCAGACTCCCCCTTTTTGGGTGGGGGTCTCACCTCGGACCCTTCTCCGGGCGGTGGGGCAGGGTCTCCAGCTGTGCTCCGACACCAGCACCCTCTCTTCCTCCCCCTTCTCCTTTTCCCCCCGCAGCCCCTCGGGGACGGGGCGCTCCATCCCAGGCGCGTTTTTGGGTTTTTGGGGTCTGCACCCCCTGACTCGCCCTCCCGCCTGGGCTCCGCTGCCCGACTGAGCTCGCAAACGAGCTCATTAAAAACGACCTTGACGAATCCCACGGACCCGCTCGGGCCGGAGCGAGCCGGGTTTCCTCCCCCCTCCTCCACCCCAATCCCAACGTACATCCCGCGGCGGGGAGGATTTAATAAGTATTTTAATTAATTATCGTGATTATTCCTTAATAATGGGCATTGCATTCCATGGCGCTGAGCTGGGGGGAGCGGGGGGGGGGACGGAGAGGGGAAAAATTTCCACCGTCTCCGGCGCAAGACCTAAATTTAGCCGGTTTTACGAGAGGTCTGGCAGGCGGCCGGGAGCCTTAACGAGGCTTTAAAAAGCTCGTCAAGTCGAAATATCCCGAAATAACCGATCCGGCGTCGCCTTCGCCGGGAGGAGAACGAGGAAGGGGGTCCCGCTCTTCCCCCCGGGGGTCGCAGGAGGTGGCAGGCGGTGGGTGAAGGTGAAATCCTCGCCCTCCGGCACCATGGAGCTTTTCGGGAGCTTTGTCCGGCCCCACGGGGAGACCTTGGGGTTCCCAGGTGAGTTTGGGGCGCACTCAGGGGGTATTCGGGGGGGATCCTCAGCAAGCCGTGGCTGTGACCCCCCCAAACGCTGTCGGGCAGCTCGCCCCGGTAACACGGGCGTGGTGAAGACCCTGGGGAACACCTATCAGTTCACGGTGGATGTCAGCGACTTCGCGCCCGAGGACATCATCGTCACCACCTCCAACAACCAGATCGAGGTGCACGCAGAGAAGGTGGGTGCTCCCTGCTCACCCCGAAAGCGGGGGACCCCAAAATCCTCCCCGGGGGATGCGGGGACCACCCAGATCCCGCCCAGTTCCCAAACAGCTGCGGCCGCAACCCCAGCGGCGTTTAATTCACCGTTAATTAACGGGGACCGCAGGGAATAATGAGTCCCTATTCCGCTCGCACCCCAAAAATCGCCTCTTTTCACCCATTTTTTTTTTCTCTCCCAGCTGGCCACGGATGGCACCGTCATGAACACCTTCACCCACAAGTGCCAGCTGCCCGAAGATGTGGACCCCACGTCCGTGTCCTCCTCGCTGGGGGATAACGGGATGCTGACGATCCGGGCTCAGCGCCGGCCGGCCAAGCACTCGGAGCACGTCCAGCAAACGTTCCGGACTGAGATCAAGATCTGAGGGCTCGGGGGGCTCCTTTCCCCCTCCCCAGCACCCCCCATTTCCCTCCCTCGCTAATTAAATGGGTGATTTCGGAATGAGGTGGGATATGGGGTAGGGAATGGGAACGCTCCCTCCGCAGTGGGGTCAGACCTGCGGTGATCGTGTTCCGTCACCCACCGGAGAAATTCCGGACGGGAGTCCCAGCTCCGGCAATTTTTAGCTGGCGCGTGTTGAGGGGTGAGATCCAGCGTGCCAAGAATCCTGCCGGGAGCCAGCTTCCCTTCCCAACCCTCCGCCAGAGCCTGTCTTTGTATATAGAGCTTGGGATAAATTATTGGCAACGTCTGACTGCCGCCTTCTCCGTTTTGTTGGGTTTTTTTATATTTCCTTGATGCTTTACCCACCAGAAGGGGTGTGTGTTCAGACCCCAGGGGTGTCTCGGAAAGGGATATTCTGCCATCCCGACAGAATCCCGCACCAGGAGCCGCTCGGGCGCCCGCTGCCCTGTTTATTTCCAGCCCGGGGTGACTCATTTCTTCCCGAAGCTCTATTTCTGAGCCATCCCCTCAGCTGTCCGGCTGCCGACCCACCTGGAAGGGCACCAAACCCTCCTCCCCTCGCCCACCCTCACCCAGCAGCGCCCTGGGGATGGCACAAGCCGGGATGACTGCCCCAAAGCCGAGGGTTTCTCCTCGGGGAAGGGCAGAACCTCCCTGCAGGCTCGGCTCGGTGTGTGCACCCACAACAGCGAGTGCCGGCCGCCTGTTTATGGCTACACACGGCTGGTGTGGCCGTGCCCGAGCCACTCGTGACTGCAATCAGAGCTCTGGCAGCGTCCCAGGCTCGGCTGCGGGCACTCAGGGCGCTGTCCCCGCAGGAGGAAGGGTTAAAAGCGGAGCTGCTGCGGGCACTCAGGGCGCTGTCCCCGCAGGAGGAAGGGTTAAAAGCGGAGCTGCTGCGGGCAGGAAAAGGCTCGGGAAGTTCGCTGCCCTCGGGCCCCGGCGCTGGGCCGCGAACGCCGCCCCGGCAGCGCCGGGCGCTGGTTGCCATCTAGCGGCCCTCGCCCAGGGAGATGCGGATAAAAGGAGGAAGAAAATGGGAATAAACGCCGGGGAAAGGGCGATTCCATCACTGTTTTTTCTCGTTTTCTTCCTCCTATTTCTGCCCACATCGCTTTCGCACAGGGGAGATGTGGAAGTTGGCCCTTAAGCCCAGCACCAAACACACCCCACAGGAGCTCGTTTGTGGCAGGAAAGCTGGGGAAAAATAAAAACACTTTTTTTTGGGACATGTTTAATTCTATCAACGATCTGGTTGACGGGATCGAGGGTATCCTTATGACCCATAAGGATACAAACTTTTTTCACTTATTTATACATTTTCAGCAAACAAATAAATTAATGTTCACTGGTTCTAAGGCACATAACACTCTTTAATATTTAGCATTCTATCCTCTGTTGGTCATTGATTTCTGCAGTCCTGTTATCATCTTTTCCTCGGACAGGGAATCTCCAGCTTTCCAGGCTTTAATCTTCTCTGTATTTTCTGGTTACTCCAATGTCCTTGAAGTGCCATAAATTTAACATCCCAGATATCCAATCTTTGGCTTTATTGAAGCTTGTCAGGGTTAGTTGTAACAAACTTAATGTTTTGGTGATTTAATCATCCGAGTAACAAGTCTGTGCAGAAACTTAACTAACACTGGCCAAAAGTGGGTGCTGTTTACAATTAATTAAATCAACTAATTAAAAGTTAGTTAGGAAAGTTGCATTATTTCCCTACAACGGGAACCTTTTCGCTGCAGAAGGATGGAGCCAAGGAAACAAATGATAGACAAGGAGGAACGGCACCGAGCTGTGGCAAGGGAGGTTTATATTAAACATAGGGAAAATTCCTTCATGGAGCGGGTGGTCAGGCACTGGGACAGTGATGGAATCGCCACATCGGCGGTGTTTAAACAAGGGTGATGTGTCGGATTGGGAACGTGCTTAGCGAGGAACACGGCGGTGGCACGAGCACCTTCACCCCTCACGGTTCCCCCCTGTCCCTCCTTACGGTTCCCCCCGGTCCCTCACGGTTCCCCCCGGTCCCTCCTCACCGCTCCCCCGGTCCCTCCTCACGGCTCCCCCCGGTCCCTCCTCACCGCTCCCCCGGTCCCTCCTCACGGTTCCCCCGGTCCCTCCTCACCGCTCCCCCGGTCCCTCCTCACGGTTCCCCCCGGTCCCTCACGGCTCCCCCGGTCCCTCAGCACCGCCCCCACACTGTCATGGCGGCCCCTCTGCGGCGGGAAGGGGCGGGAAGGTGACCGCCCCCGCCGCGCATGCGCACTGACGCCGCCACTCGGCGGGACGGGGCGACGCCGCTTCCGCCCGGTGCCAAGATGGCGGCGCCCTTTGTCTGGTCGGTGTCACGGTGAGGGCCGCGGGCTGCGGATGAGGCCCCGCCGGGCCCGGCATGGCAGGTGCGGCGCGGGGGCCCCGGGAGAGCGCTGGAGGGGCTAAGGGAGAAGGCCGAGTAGGACACGGGCGCCGGGAGGGGAGGAGGCTGCGGCCCGGCTCGCTGGCTGTGGGGTAACGGAGCCGGTTTGGGGGTCACCCCGGTGCGCGGCCCCCGGTTCTTTGAGGGCAGGCTGCGGAGGGGCGGGCCGTGGGAAACGGGGTGCTGCCGGCTGTCGTGAGGGGAACGGCGGCTTGTCGCGGTAGGAACGAGGGGCTGCGGGGTATCGTCAGGGTTTGTTGGCTGCTGTGAGCGGGGCGGGGGGCTCCTGCTTGTCTTGAGGGGAACGGGGTGCTCGTGGCTGCCGTGAGGGCAGCGGGGGGCTCCTCCTGCCGCCCCTCCCCGGTGTCCCTGTCCGCTCCGGGACGCGCCCCAGCCCGTGTCCCCGGCCGGGGACATCACCGTCCCTCGGGCCACCCGAACACCCTCCCCATGGCCGGGAACGGCGGCCACAGCCCCGAGCCAGCGCCAGCCGCATCCCCGCACCTCAGGGACGGCGAAAACCGCAAGGAAAACGGCGTTTTCCCTTGTTGTGGCGTTTTGGCGAGGTGACAGCCCCTCCTGGCTGTCCCTGCCCTCTGCGGCTGGGCACGGGGGACACATTTCCCGGAGCAGCCGTATTTCCTTAGCTCCGTTTCTGCGTCAGAGGCTTCTCCCGAGATGCCGGCCCTCGGCCAGCATTCCAAAGGGGGTTTTTCCCAGAGGAGACAAGGGTTTGTCATCCCTGGGCGCTGCAGACACAGGAAGGGTTTCAGGGCAGATCTCAGGCTCAGGTGATGTCCTGGTGTCCAGAGCAGCAGCAGCACATCCATAGGCCTGAAATCCAGATAACCGAGGCATCTTTAGCATGTCTGTTCCCCGTGGGACATCCAGGATGTCCCTCTCCTCGTGTCTTTCTCGTTTTATTTCCTTTTCACCACATTTTTTCCTCTTTGTGGTCATTTCCCCTCTCACAGCTCCCCTTCCGCTTCCCACCATGGGCTCTGCAGCCCTTCCCTTTTCCACGGTCCATATTATTATTATATGGAGCTACTCCACTCAGATCAGCTCTAAACTTCATTTTTTTCATGGAAAACATTGCAGGATCCGTTCCTGGAAATGAGGACAGACCCCAGTGGGCAGAGGCAGCGAGGGTTGGGGCCGCGTTGTTCCCCGAGCTGACGCACGAGGCGAGAGATGACAGTGGGTAGGAAACAAACCCCCTCTTCCCTTTCATCTTCCCAGGAGGGATGGCTGGGTGCTGACAGCCTTGAAAGACAATGTTTAAATCACTGGTTTTTCTAATTTAAGGAGTTTTGGGGGTTTTAATAGGTTCATGTGGCAGGGAAGGGGAGAAGTAATGTTGCTAATTAGCAAGAGCACTTAGCAGAGCTCACGTGGGAAGCTCCCTG